GCAGTACGGTTCCCCGTGTAGCGTGGGCTATATATGTGTGCGTGCAATGTTCGCGGGTTCCCCGTGTAGCGAGAGAAAGGGGGATAGAGATAGCGATAGAAAGAGAGAGAGAGAGAGAGAGAGAGAGAGAGAGAGAGAGAGAGAGAGATGGAGAGAGAGGTGGAGATAGATAGAGAGCGGGAGCGAGAAAGAAAGAAAGCAAGAGACTGAAGAGATAGATAGATAGAGAAAGAGAGAGAGATTAAAGAGAGAGAGGGGGGGAGACAGAGTGAGAGAGAGAGATTAAAGAGAGAGAGAAGGGGGGAGAGAGTGAGAGAGAGAGAGCCCAACGAGTAAAATGTTTGGACCTCAAAACAACGTACGTAAAAAAAATATTAATGGCGTTAAAATAGATTTGTGACACCTTCATCCGCAGATTTTAGCATTATATCAGGAATATTATGGCGATATAACCCAGTTATAAGTTTTCTCCAACTACGCGAGATGCGGCGCGTGTGTGTGTGTGTGCGTGCGTGTGTGAGTGTGTGTGTGTGTGTGTGTGTGTGTGTGCGTGTGTGTGTGTGTGTGCGCGCGCGTTGTGTGTGTGTGTGTGTGTGTGGGTGTGTTGGTGTGTGTGTGTGTGTGTGTGTGTGTGTGTGTGTGTGTGTGTTGTGTGTGTGTGTGTGTGGTGTGGGTGTGTGCCTGTGCGTGAGGGGCGAAGAAAGCGCGTGGAGGGAGTGAGAGAAAATAAAGAGATAGCGAGCGAGAGAGGAAGAAGGGTGAGGTAATTTGTACTCAGTAATTTTGGTAGATGTCCCCGCCTTTCTTTGGAAGAAGACAGAGAAAGAGATGAGAGCGCCGCGTGGAGGGAGGAAAGGCGGCGAACGAGTAGCGAGAGAGAGGAGAGAAAGAGAGAGAGAGATGCGAAGAGCGGAGAGAGAGAGAGAGCGAGAGCGAGAGAGAGAGGGATATGTTCGCGACGTTTGGCCTCTTATATCACTAAGCTGCATGTCTGCAGGAGTCAAACAATTGGTCACAGCGCGAAGCTGGCAACGGCTTCGACACTTCGTCGTCGAGCATCTAAGTATGGACGGAGACACGAGTGACTTGACGACGGGCAACGACCTTCAAGAGCCACAACGATCAGTTCAAGGACGGCGAAGCTTTCGATGATGACGCGGCTCGACGGCAAGGAAGCACTACGGTAAGTCTCTCTCTTCTCTCTCTCTCTCTCGTCTCTCGTCTCCTCTCTCTTCTCTCTCTCTCTCTCTCTCTCTCTCTCCTCTTTTGCTCTTCTCTCTCTCGCTGTCTCTTTCTTCTCTATCTAATCTATCTTCTGATCTATCTGATCTAACTCTATCATCTGATCTATCTATCTATCTATCTATTCTCTCTCTCTCTCTCTCTCTCTCTCTCTCTCTCTCTCTCTCTCTCTCTCTCTCTCTCTCTCTCTATATATATATATATATATATATATATATATAAGAAAGAATTGAGAAGCGGGAAGAGCCTTAGCTGGGGTGAGAAGGAATTAGGGGGAGAAAGTGATAAGGAGAGAGAACGTCCCAGGCTGGGGCAAGAAGGACACTGAGAGGAGAAGGTACTCACGTGCGGGTTAACGTGCAGTGTTCAGTGAACGTGCAGTGCGGGCTAACGTGCAGTGTAACGTGCAGTGTAACGTACAGGGTTAATGTGAGGGTTAAGATGCAGTGTAACGTGCAGTGCGGGTTAAGGTGCAGTGTAACGTACAGTGTAACGTGCAGGGTTAATGTGCGGGTTAAGATGCAGTGGGGACAGCGGGCAAATTATACCTGATAAACTAATTAAAATTAAAATTAAATAATTATAATTCGGTTAACTGCTCATGAGGTTAACACATTGTTTCTACTCTCGCAGACTACAATAACGCTCGAAGGCAACACGATGGTGCAGAGCCAGAAGGATAAGAAAGGCGTGATCGACACAACCATCACGCGGGAGCTCAAGGGTGACGAATTCATAGCGGTGAGCGCTTACGTTGTTTACTCGGCCGGTAGATGGCGCCCGAGCTTACGATTTGGAGCCATAGCAGAGCATGTATATCATATGTCATATATGATATACGTGCTCTGGCCATAGATAGAGATCTCAGCTAAATCTATAGCTCTGCGCCAGTATCGTCTGCATAACCTAAAAGTGTATACAGAAGTGGATAGTAAAATTGTCTATCATGTTAATGCCTATTATGCAATGTCTTATTATATTACACTTGGTATGTAACATATGTTGGTTTTTCTTGCAGACGGCAACGGCGACGGGCACTGACATCGTCTCCCGCCGTGTCTTCAAGAAACAATAACTCATTCTAACTGTCCTGCGATGCTCCAATCTTTCTCCTTATCTCATTGTTCTATCCCATCTCGAGTGTATACAAAGTATACCGAGTCAAATTATAATAAGCCGGAGTACCAAAGTCAAACCATATAGGGCCTAGAGACGTAAAATGTCAAATTATAAAGAGTTAAACTACATTAAGAGTCAAAGTATAAAGTGTCAAGACGTATCATACTAGTGCCTGTTCTTATTCCGCATTAAAAAACCACGTTCTTTTAAAAGTATAGAATATTCGTAACATATCAGGAGTACAATAAACACCCGCATAAAAGAAAAAAGAACCCGTGATTTTCTGTTTCAGGCTGAAGAGGTTCTTATATATATGATACATAGTGAGAAATCAGCCTGAAGTGGTTCTTAGTTTGGGGGGGGGGACGGGGATTTGTGTAGGCCTGACATTATCTAGTAAAATTGGCTTATTAATTAGTGAATAATTGACACTAATTAATTAATGCAACTGCTTAATTTTAGAAATTATATGTCTGTTTAAATTCATTTGAGGTTAAGTAAGTTATCACCGTTTAAGTTTACTTTGTCATGATTAAACAGACGATGAAAGGTTCAACTCTGGTGAAAACTGATTTGAGCTAATAGTAGACAGTTTCGCAATGCGTGTAGCAACCATACTGTGATTGCCCATTTGCGCCTCTAATTTCCTCGGTATTATTTTTATATAAGAACGCTGTTAATTTATCAGCGGCTGAAGCATGGTTTGCTTGATTAGTAATAGGTGCTTTATTTGGTCCAATTTCAGCCTGAGGTTTCTTAAAGATTCACGGGTTTTTATGCGGGTGTTTACTGGATATAGTCAAAAGCACGAGAGCAAGAATATATCTATGATCGATATACTATGAGTATATTTATCGATCTATCGATATCGATCAATATCTATTGATCAATATCTATTGATAGACTCTTGAACATATGTCATTCATACTATTATATTGTTTCGTACGCGAGTAATAAAAACGAATTTTTATACACCATTTTATCTATAGTATCTTATGAGTTTTTATAGGCCCTCTAGTATATATTTCAGATACTATTCATAGCGAGAATCGAGCACGAAGTGATTAATAATTTGTAATGCTATTCTCCACGAGTTGAAAGAAGCCGTTCTCTTTTTTCGTTCGTTCTTTCACTAGCATTTTAAGATATTCTCCGTCCGTGAGCGACGGAATATATAATGTATATAATCACTTAAGTGGATTCTTACACGATGCTAAACTATACTAATTTTTGCAAAAAGTGTTAGCCTATAACTGAACTTCATCATACTAATGACGTATACTGTTAATTACACTTGATATTTAATCAACGGCAGCTGCTTTGTCGCATAACACAAGCCACCACTATCAATGGCTGCCGTAACTCGCAGTATACTCTGCTTCTACATTTGAAATGCTCTTTGGGCCATGTCGACTACAGGGATCTTAATGTTAACAAACCTAATGACTTACATCAGCCTATAGCTATAGTATAAATACAAGGTCAACAGGTAGTGTAACACCACAGCTATAGAGTAGATTGTAGGTCCATGCAGGTAGCGTAAACCAATCAGCTGTATAACTATAGTAATAGAAGACAATCAAGTACTAGTTAGCCTAGCTAAACACATCAGCTATAACTATAGTATAGAATGGCAATCACAGGTAGTGGTAAAAACAGGCAGGCTATAAGTTAGAGTGTTGCCAAGCGTCTATCGCAGGTTAGGGCGTAATACACATGAGCTATAACTTAGTATGAAAGAAGGCAATCACACGGTAGTGTAAGAAACAGTCAGGTTATAAGTAGAAGTTGTACGGCTCTATCGCAGGTTAGCTAAACATCATCAGGCTAGAACTATATTATAGAAGGCAATCACAGGTAGTGTAAACACATCAGCTATAACTATAGTTATAGAAGGTGAATCACAGGTAGTGTTTAAAACCCTCAGGACTCATATTACTATAGTATACGAAGACAATCACAGTAGTGTAAAAACAGCACTATTAGGAGCTAGAGATTGTACGTACATATCGCGAAGAGATATATGGTAATACCACCATACAGGCTATGAACTATTAGTAGTTAGAATAGGCAATCACAGGCGTCTGCGCTAACAAAGCTTTAGTTCGAGGCTGCATGTTATATTACATGAGACTATGTTAAGCGTCTAGTCGCTAGGTGATCACGTACAATCTACTTTAACTCGTTAAGATTAATCATTCATAGCACTATAACTATAACGTATTACACGAAGGTGCTCAAGATTCTCGACAGGCTTAGTGTAAATAATACAATGACGTAGTAGTATAAGTAGATGTGTCTGAGCGGATGTGTTTTTCTTACGCAGAGCTAGCGTCACATACGAACATATTCAGCTATAACTCAGGACTGTAAATTGCAATGATCGAGGGCACGTATGTAAAAAACACGACAGTTAATATAGTATAATAAGCTTCGAATGCTAGGACCATCTTCCGAGACTACTAATCTCATTTCTCTATTATAGATCTCTTGATGTGGACTGCTAGTCGTCGTGCGTAGTTGGGTTTGCGACTGTCGCGTCGTGTGTGTGGGGGGGAGGTGCGTGGTGGACTTGCTGTCGTGTCTGGATACTGTGTCAGGGCGCGCGACTACAGCGTGTTTTCAATAGGCTGGGGGGTCGGCAAATTGAGAGTGTATTATCGAAACGTACCAATACTGGCCTGCTGAACGTACGGAGCGGTGCAGAGTCTACTGCTGAAGTTTAATCTTGCTGGGATGGGCGTATTAGCGCTCCGAGTCGAAGGCAAGCTCCATGAACGCTATTCGATGAGGGTGGGTGTTGAGGGTCCCCTTTCCTAACGCTCAGGACCTTTTGACAATTTTGCAACTGAAGATGGGAATAGATACGATCGATGTGTGTCAGTCATTCGACAGGATGAACAAACTCTGTGTTATTTTAGCCCAATATTTTTCTAAATATCGCAAAAGAATAACGAAAGATAAATTACCTTTATCAGTACATGTCTATGTAGCAGTGTCAACTATAGTGAAGTATATATAATGCGTTTGCATTCTTAATATGTTATACATGTAATAGGAATAAATGAATACTGAAAAAGTGAATCTTTATTTCAGGCGTACATGAAATTGTGCCACTCTTTTCTGCTTAACCCTTGGTAATGTACGTCAATAATATACATATGCTGAAGTGATACTTTTAAAACACTTAAAACAGTCACTTCAGACTAGCATTTTATCTTAGTGTGGTGATCTTTCATGTTATTGGCTGAAGCAACTAGTTTTTGCATTCAAAAACCAAGCTGACTAGGATAATTACATTAAAGAATACACTCAACTTATTTAGTTAATTTAAAAGTATGAACTTAAGACCTAAAGAGTGCAAACTCTAAATAAAAGAATAAAAGGAAACCTTATATTAATAAGATACTATCATGACACTAAAACTAACGCTCATAGGTCTAATGTCCCCCAGGTTACTTTGCCGACACGTAACGCCTGTCGGATCTCCCGGTATATGGCCACAGAAATAGAATTATGGAAGTTCTCTTTCTTTGCTACTTGAATAATATAGAAAGTTCTAGAAGTTTACTTTGGTATTCTATTTCTGTGGTATACGCTTCTGCGTTATCAGCGTCGTTTAGGCTGCTGGCAGTGTCTGCGCGTGTTTATCTTATAGCTGTGGCGTACGCGTGCGTGTGCATTCATAAGTAGCAATGTGTGCATGACTCGCTACGGCCCGTTAGCTACGGTTTGCTGTAATATGGGGAGGGCGGGGGTCGTATCTCTTCAATGTGGCGAATCTAGCTAAAGTACTAGGCCGTGTGTTACATGAAATATTCT